AAAAATTAATTAATTAATTAAAAAAAAAAAACTATCTTGGGGCTGGTGCCGTGGCTCATTTGGTTAATCCTCCACCTACAGCGCCGGCATCCCATGTGGGCGCCGGCTTCTAGTCGCATTTGCTCCTCTTCCAGTCCAGCTCTCTGCTGTGGTCTGGGAAGGCTGTGGAGGATGGCCCAAGTGCTTGGGCCCTGCACCCACATGGGAGACCAGGAGAAGCACCTGGCTCCTGGCTTTAGATCAGCGCAGCACTGGCTGTAGCGGCCATTTTGGAAGGAAGACCTTTCTCTCTCTCTTTCGAACTAGCTAACTCTACCAAGACTGGATAAAGGAAAAAGTTGGGGGAAAAAAAAAAACTATCTCCACAAATGTCTAAAATTAAATGAAGCAACTCAAGAAACAAGAATAAGGAAGACAACGTGATCCTGCCAAAGAAACACAACAACACCTCAATACTAGATTGTATGAAGATGAAGAGAGTGAAAAAATTCCAGAAACAGAACTCAAAAATTACTTAGAAGTCATCAGAAGCAGATCCATTAATTAAAGAAATCTGTACATGACATGAATGAAAATTATTCCTATTGAGATTTTAAAGAGAAATCAAAATGAAATATTGGAAATGAAGAATTCTGTGGAATGCAGTGGAAAGTCTTTATAGGTTTAGTGAGGCAGAAGAAAGAATATCCTTTTAAAAGGCAAATCTTTGGAAATTTTATTATCAGATCAAAAAAAAAAAAAAAAGAAATTAGGAAACCAGAAAACAGTGCTGCAAATTATGGGATACTATCAAATAACCCAACAGATGAGGTTCTGAAGGTGTCTGGAAAGACAATTGATTAGAAGACCTTTTTTTTTGTGGAGAAAGAAAGGGATATCCATGTATAGGAATATCCAAATACAGGAGAGAACATTAGAGAAGCTCTGTAAGACATTGGGAGAAGGTATTTGTAAACTATGCAGTTTATAAAGGGAGTTACAAGATAACAACAAAACAAATAACCCAGTTAAGAGATGAAAAGAGGATCTAAGTGACATTTTTCCAAAGAGGAAATTCAAACGGCCAGACATATGAAGAAATGCTCAGGGAAATGCGAATCAGTAACAATGAGGTTTCACCTCACCCCTTTTAGAATGGATTTCATACAGAAATTAACAGATAGCAATCACTGGTGAGGATTTGGGGAAAAAGGTACTTTGTCCATGGTTATTGGGAATCTAAACTTGTATAGCCACTGTGGAAGATAGTGTGGCAATACTTCAGAAATCTGAATATAGACATTCTATATGACTAGCCATCCTGCTCCTGGGAATTTACCCAAGGTAAGTGAAATCAGCTTACAAAAGAGTTACCTACCTCCATGTTTATTGCGGCTCATTTCACAATAGCTAAGAAATCAAACCAAATCCATCAACTGAAAAATTGAAGATAAAGAAATCATGGGATAGGTACAGTATGGGTACTACATAGCAGTAAAAAAAAAAAAAAAAAAAAAAAAAAAAAAAAAAAAAAAAAAAAACACGAAATTCTGTTATTTGCAACACGAATGAAACTGGAAAACATCATACATAGTGAAGTAAGCCAGTCTCACAGGTACAAATGTTCTCCCTGATCTGTGGTAACTAACAGAGCTCCTAAAAGGTTATCTGCAGGAGTGAAATTGACAGTTGAGGGGTGTGGTGACTTTGAACAGCCAGTGTCTTGACTATGGATGAACAGCTTTTTTCTCCATACTATTTGTTGGACTCTTTCTCCATACTATTTGTTTAATTTCATTCAAAATAAATCTTGTGTATATAATTAATTGAAAATAAATCTTGGGGCTGACACTGTGGAACAGCATGGTAAAGCCCTGGCCTGAAGTGCTGGAATCCCATTTGGGAGCTGGTTCTAGTCCCAGCTGCTCTACTTCCGATCCAACTCTCTGCTGTGGCCTTGGATAGCAATAGAAGATGGCCCAAATCCTCGGGCCCCTGAACCCATGTGGGAGACCCAGAAGAAGCTCCTGGCCCCTGGGTTTGGATCAGCACATATCCGGCTGCTGTGACCATCTGGGGAGTGAACCAGCAGTTGGAAGACCTCTCTCTCTGCTTCTGCCTCTCTCTCTAACTCTGTCTTTCAAATAAATAAAATAAATATTTAAAAAATAAAATAAATGCAAATAAATCTTAATAAAAAATAAGATTGGGAATTAAAAAGTGAGGAAAAAGACGGAGGGGAGTATGGGCACCGTGGGAAGAATCACTGTGTTCATGAAGTTGTATTTATGAATGAGATGCATGAAGTTTATATACCTTAAAAGGTTTCTGTTGGGGGAGGGAATCAAAATGAAAAAGCATTGAAAATGCCTGTGTAATGTTCAGTCAGATGTTTCAAGAGCAGTACTTTGAAAACTCAGAAAGCTTATGTAACAGAAAGGATTTAAATTAGAATTCTTAAGAAAACCTTAGGTTTGAAATTTAGTGTGTAATGCATTAACTTTTGTTAATTTGCAGGTAATGAAGACTATGATCCACAAACTGTGAGACTTGGAAATAGATACAGTCATGTTCAAGAGGTCCAAGAACGACTTCACTTTCTTAGGTTTGTTTTTAAATAATTAGTGATGTTCTCTTTTAAGGCACTGAAAAGAAAAGAACTTCACGTTGTTTTTATTTTTTTATGTATGTATTTGAAATCCAAATAGACCTGCTTGTTCACTCCCCAGATATCTACAATGGATGAGGCTGGGCTGTGCTGTAACCAGGAGGAGGGAACTTTATCTGGGTCTCCTTTGTGAGAGTCAGGGTCCCAAACACTGGGTCCATCTTCTGCTTTCCCAGCCAATTAGGGACCTAGATCAGAAGCGAAGCAACCAGGACCCAAACCTGTGCTGCCCATGTTGGATGCTGCCATTGCATGTTGGATGCTGGAAGAGGAGTAACCGGGACTAGAACCTGGTATCCATATGGGATGCCAGCACCGCAGGTGTAGGATTAACCAAATGAGCCATGGCGCCGGCCCCCTGTTCCTTGCTGAGAAAACCGCAGAAGATGGTCCAAGGACTTGGGACCCTTCCTCCCACATTGGAAGATAAGATAAAGATAAGATAAATCCTGGCTCATGGCTTTGGCCTGGCACAGCCCAGGCCATTGAAGCCATTTGGAAACAGATGGAAGATCTCTATCTCTTTCTCTCTTTTGTGTGTGTGTGTGTGTGTGTGTGTGTCTTTTTTATAACTCTGCCTTTCAAATGATTAAGTCTTTTTAAAAGTAAATAATTTTACTACTGGCTGTCAGGTTACACGTTTATAAATTAGGATTAGGAGTTATGCAGGACTGAAAGAGAAGGCTATTTCCGGCTCAGCATTCTTATAAAGGAGGTATTAGAAATTTAGAGTAAGACTCAAAAGAAGAAAATTAACTAAAAATGCCATAAGTTAAGCAGGTTCAGGGATACTGAAAGAAATTAAACACTGAGTGAAGGTATTGGAGTAGAATCATTACCTTCATTGTTATCTTTTTTATTCCCACTACTGAAAGTCTCAGAGGAAATCAGTGAATATTCAGAAAAGATTAATGATTACTGAAATAGAAAAAATAATTATTTAGCTTGTCTAATACAATGCAGTATGTTCAGATATTAAAAATTGTAAAATCCTTAAGAACTTTGAATCATCTCTGGAAAACACTTAGTGTAAAATTTCATTTTCTAGTTAAGGAATATCAGCACAGAGGTAAGCTAGTATATAATTTCAAAGGCTTAATATCTTGAAAGCAGGGCAGAAGGCTTGATTGTTTGTGTCACATTTTCAAGAAACTTCCTGACACTTTGTAGTTCCCTACTATGTGATTGTTAAATAAATGAATATATAGCACATAGTTCCAGGCAGATTAATAAATAAGTTCTTTTTTTAAGAATTAATACTTAAAGGTAGCCGGCGCCGCGGCTCACTAGGCTAATCCTCCGCCTAGCGGCGCCGGCACACCGGGTTCTAGTCCCGGTTGGGGCGCCGGATTCTGTCCCGGTTGCCCCTCTTCCAGGCCAGCCCTCTGCTGTGGCCCGGGAGTGCAGTGGAGGATGGCCCAGGTGCTTGGGCCCTGCACCCCATGGGAGACCAGGAAAAGCACCTGGCTCCTGGCTCCTGCCATCGGATCAGCGCGGTGCGCCAGCTGCAGCGGCAGCCATTGGAGGGTGAACCAACGGCAAAGGAAGACCTTTCTCTCTGTCTCTCTCTCTCACTGTCCACTCTGCCTGTCAAAAAAAAAAAAAAAAAAAAAAAAAAAAGAATTAATACTTAAAGGTTTAACCAAAGTATATTTATGTTTATTATTTCATACATATGATAATAACTGACTTTTGAGAATAAAATTAGGTAGACCCTAATTGCTGATTTATGTTTCCCCAAGGTTTTTATTAAAAGATGGTCAACTCTGGCTATGTGCTCCCCAGGCTAAGCAAATATGGAAATGCTTAGCAGAGAATGCAGTTTATGTTTGTGACCGTGAAGCCTGTTTTAAATGGTATTCCAAGTTAATGGGAGATGAACCTGACTTAGATCCTGATATTAATAAGGATTTCTTCAAAAGTAATGTGCTTCAGCTTGATCCTTCCCTATTAACTGAAAATGGAATGAAGTGCTTTGAAAGATTCTTCAAAGGTGTTAATTGTCGAGAAGGGAAACTGATAGCAAAAAGAAGAGTCTATATGATGGACGATTTGGAATTAATAGGATTAGACTATCTTTGGAGGGTAAGTGAGAGAAAACTTTTTTGCAAGTACTGTTCCTGAAGAGTTTATTTACAGAATCATAATTTTACCTGAATGTTTTATATAATTTTTATGCCTGTCATAGAAATCATCTCTTTATCTGTAGTCTCTTATTTATTCATCTATTTTCAATCATTTTTGTGTGTCTTGTTGTTTTTTTTTTCTTTTTTCCCTGCCTGCCACTGGAACATGTCACTCATGCTAATCATTGCCTACTTTAGCATATTTCTCCCTCTGCTTCTTTCATAGAAGTAACTATCTCCTATTTTTATGTAATAGATTTTAGGCTTTGTTATACTTTTAATGTTGTAATGAATGAAATGCAGAAGGAAGGATTATTACTCGGAAGTGATTATGAATTAATGCTATGTTGACTTTGTGTACCCTGTAATATATTGAAATAATTGGAGAGAATATACTACAGAAAGCTGACTTTTCCAGAGCTGGCATTAATGACACCCCTGTGATGTCAGCATCTCTTAGGAGCCTCAATTCAGTGTTCAGGTACTCTACTTCCCTGTCAGCTCCCTGCTAATCTAGGAAAGCAGCATAAGATGGCTCAAGAGCTTGTGTCCCTTTCATTGCCATGGGAGACCTGGATGGAGTTTCAGGCTTCTAGCTTTGGCGCAGCCCCAACCTAAGCAGTTGTGGCCATTTGGAGAATCACACAGTGGATGGACTCACTCTCTCTGTCTCTCTGAAATGATTAAAACTTTTTTAAAAAACATAACTTTTCCATATTTTTTCAAGATTTGTTTATTTATTTGAAAGAGTTACACAGAGAGAGAAGGAATCAGAGAATGAATCTTCCATCTGCTGGTTCACTCCCTAGTTGCGCTGATCTGAAGCCAGGAGCCAAGAGCCTCCCCTGGGTTTTCCCATGTGGGTGCAAGGGCCCAAAGACTTGGACCATTTTGTACTGCTTTCCTAGGCCATAGCAGAGAGCTGGATTGGAAGTGGAGCAGCTGGGACTCAAACTGGTGCACGTGTGGGATGCCAGCACTACAGGCAGCGGCTTTACCTGCCACACCACAGCGCAGCCCCAACTTTTCCATCTTTATAATGTAAGGATAGTGTGTTGCCATTTTGTAAACTATAACATCTAATATATCAGCTGAAGCTACTTTTGGAATTTATTTTATTTTTGGGGCAAATTTTAGACTAAGATATTTCATGTTGTGTTCCACTAAAAAAAATGGCTTTTAAAACTTTTTTAACCTGCAGTATCTCCCGTAAATTAAAACAAAGTACAAAGCTGGTTGATAGGAGAAATGAGAAAGGAGTATTTTTGCCTTTACTTGTTGCCATATTGTGGCTCTTCAGAATTTAGAGATCATCTTAAAACACTAATAAAGCTGGAGAATTCTTCACATATTTTAAAAACCATTGATTAGACTGTTGATAAAGATGTGCAGAAATTTCTGGGGATAATGGGACATTACATTGTGTTAACTAGTATACACTTGTTTGAACTACCCTTTTTTTTAATGTTGGTTGGCTGGTTGTTTTTTTTTTTTAATTTTTTTTTTAATTTACTTATTTATTTGAAAGGCAGAGTTAAACGTTCACTAGTTCACTCTCCAGATGGCCTAATGGCCGGGAGTGGGTCAGGCCAAAGCCAGGAGCTTGGAACTTCATTCAGATCTCCTTTGTGGGTGGTGGAGATCCATCTTCTCTGCTCTCCCAGGTACATTAGCAGGGAACAGCATAGGAAGTTGAGGAGCCAGGACTCAACCAGTGGCACCCATGTGGGATGACAGCATCTCAAATGATGGCCTAACCTGCTATGCCACAATACCAGCCTCTGAACCATTACTTTGAAAGCTCCCTTCTTGGCTACCAGGTGGTTAAATTAAATAATACTAATCTGAATATTTTGTGTACTTTTCATTGTAAGCAAACTGCAAAGTAGTTTATGCTTCATGTTCTTTATAGTGGTTAGTTTATGTTACTCTTTGATTTTTAACTTTTCTTATGCCTGTTACTTGAAATGAAGTTAAAATCAATGAAGATTATATTAAAAAATAGTGAAGATATGATTTGCATGAGAGTACTAAATTGAATTGTGTCTTAATGATATTATTAAAGCTATAATATTTTGGTACTAGGTTGTGATGCAGAGCAGTGATGATATTGCCAACAGAGCTATAGATCTTCTTAAAGAGATATACACAAACCTTGGGCCGAAGCTACAGATGAATCAGGTAAGGACTGAAGTGCATAAGTTAGGCTAAAGTAATCTTGTGCTAAATGTACTATACTTTTAAACTTAGAATTCAATACAAGTTAACTTTAACTCTTTAGAAAATGTTGTCTGAATACTTAATTCATACTTGTCCTTTGCACAATGGATGATTAATAATTATTTTTAGATATTTGCGTTTTGTATTAGTCAGTTTTTCTTTTAGCCAGATTTTTGAGAGGAATCACTTAAGTGGAAAGAAAGTACATTTCAGCAGATGGGATATTTACAGTCCAAGATTGGTATTTATGGAGGCTGTTAATGGTGGAGCTTGTGCAGAGAGGCAATCACATAATAAGACAGAGAACAGAGACACAGGGAGCACTCTTACCTTTTTCATGTGATCTTTTCTGATGATGCCATCATGATTTGGTGAAGACTCCACTCTGGCAATCTAATCTAGACCAATCACTTCAATAAAGGCTCACTTTGAGCCATGAAAATCAGAACAAGCCTTCACTCTAATACATCAACCATTAGCATTCTTCCATTAATCATTAACATAGAACTTTGTGGGTTAGAGGTCCACATGAGTTTGGGGAGCCAGGTCCTGTACAGTCCATAACATGCTGCTTATGACTGTCCAGAACTCATATTTTCATTTAAAACATACAGATTCCATTCCGAGAAGTCCCAGGTCTTTGTTTTGTTTTGTTTTGTTTTGTTTTGTTTTGTTTTGTTTTGTTTTGTTTTGACAGGTAGAGTGGACAGTAAAAGAGAGAGACAAAGAGAAAGGTCTTCCTTTGCCATTGGTTCATTCTCCAATGGCCGCTGTGGCCCATGCACTGCAGCTAGCACACCATGCTGATCTGAAGGCAGGAGCCAGGTGCTTCTCCTGGTCTCCCATGGGGTGCAGGGCCCAAGCACTTGGGCCATCCTCCACTGCACTCCCTGGCCACAGCAGAGAGCTGGCCTGGAAGAGGGGCAACCGGGACAGAATCCGGCGCCCCAACCAGGACTGGAACCCGGTGTGCTGGCGCCACAATGTGGAGGATTAGCCTAGTGAGCCGCGGTGCCGGCAAGAAGTCCCAGTTTTAACTCAATCTGATAAGTCCAAAGTCTAGCATCCTGCCTGAACCTCAAAGCGAACTGCCTTAACTGTGAATCTCTGTACAATTAAAATCAAATAACATATTTCCCAAGTAAAATGGCAGAACAGGCATAGTATACATAGGATTATTTTGAAGAAAGTAATAAGTATCTGTTTTGTGACTGCCAAAATTTAACTTTGTCTGATACTTTATCCATAGATTCACTTTTTAAAAAGTAATTGTGTTGAGCACTCTGGCCTCAGAATTAGCCCTTAAGGCATTCGGATCTGGCTGAAGAGCCCATGAGAGTATTTTATGCATGGAAAGCCAAGACACTCTGGCAAAAATAAATAAATAAACCTAAATGAAAGATCTCTGCGAGTGAGATCCCAGTGGAAAGAATGGGCCATCAAAGAAGGAGGTACCTTTTTCTGAAGGCAGGCGAGAACTTCCACTTTGACTATGGTCTTGTCTAAATGAGATCAGAGTTGGCGAACTCAAAAGGCTTTCATAGCCTTAGCAACTCATGACAAGAGCCTCATGACACCATAAACAAGAGCGTCAATTGTTAAGTCAACAACAGGAGTCACTGTGCACTTACTCCCCATGTGGGATCTCTGTCTTCAATGTGTTGTACAATGTGAATCAATGGTATAACTAGTACTTAAACAGGACTTTACACTTTGTTTTTCTCTGTGGGTACAAACTGTTGAAATCTTTACTTAATATATACTAAATTGATCTTCTGTATATAAAGAAAATTTAAAATGAATCTTGATGTGAGTGGAATGGGAGAAGGAGTGGAAAATGAGAGGGTTGCAGGTAGGAGGGAAGTTATGAGGGGGGGCACTGTAATCCAAAAGTTGTACTTTGGAAATTTATGTTTATTAAATAAAAGTTTAAAAAAGTAATTGTTTTGAACTTGCTTACCTTCTTATTATCAGCTTCATTTATGAAACTTTTATTATTGGCTTAATTTGATTATGCTTGAATTACTTTAAATTGCAGTTTTATTGTTTGATTGGATTAATGCATGTTTGAGTTTTGTTTATAAGCAGCTTTAACTCTTCTTTGGTGCATTATTTTCAGGTGGTTATCCATGAAGACTTTATCCAGTCTTGCTTTGATCGTCTGAAAACATCATATGAAACATTATATATTTCGGACAGTGAAAAAGACAGTATTAATTGTGCAAGGCAAGAAGTCATCCAAATGGTTCGAGTGTTAACTGTTTTGAGAGAGTACATAAATGAATGTGACAGTGATTATCATGAAGAAAGAATGATTCTACCTATGTCAAGGTTTGTAACAAATTTATCTAATGTAAACTTTAATTTATTATGTGTTTTAAAAACTAATGATTTGGGGCCGGTGCTGCGGCGTAGTGAACTGATTTTCCGCCTGCAGCACTGGAATCCCTATGGACACTGTTCATGTCTTGGTTGCTTCACTTCCGATCCAGCTCCCTGCTATTGCCTGGGAAAGCAGTAGAAGATGGCCCAAGTAGGAGACTTGGAAGAAGCTCCTGTCTCCTGGCTTTGGATCTGATTGGCTCAGCTACAGCCATTGGCATCCACCTGGGGAGTGAACCAGCACATGAAGGACCTTTCTCTCCATCTCTACCTTCCCTCTGTCTCTACCTCTCAAATAAATAAAATAAAATCTAAAAAACAAACCAAAAAAAAAAAAAGAAATGATATAGGTAGAAATGAATGTTAGGGAAAATTTCATTTTTAGATTTTTATGCTTCACCCTTTAAAAATATTATGTGTATATTTTTAAAAGCAGGCATTTTATAACATGATATGTTTTATTCCATTTGTATTTTAGTAGCATTCTTACTTATTAACCATAGTTTTTCTTTTATCTTTTACTTTTTCAGATTTGTTACCACCCATTAAGTTTGTCACCAATATTTTGCAACTTTTTTTTTTCATTTTGGTTTGGTTTGCTTTGATTTAGGTTTACTTTTTTTAAAAGATTTATTTATTTATCTGAAAGACAGAGTTACAGAGGCAGAGAGGGAGACAGACAGACCACAACAGCCAGAGCAGGGCTGGTCTGAAGCCGAGAGCCTGGAGCTTCTTCTAAGTCTGACACTGAGGGTACAGGACCTAAGGACCTGAGCTATCTTTCACTGCTTTCCGAGGCCATAGAAGACAGCTAGACCAGAAGTGGAGCAGCCAGGACTTGAACTGGTGCCCAGATAGGATGCTGGCACTCCAGATAGCTGCTTTACCCTCTTTATCACAGTGCCAGACTGTTGATTTGGATTTTAAAATATACTTATTTATTTGAAAAGCAGAGTGACAGAGGGAGAAGGAGAGGGAGAGTGAAAAATCTTTGTCCCATTATTCACTCCCAAATTGCCACAATAACCATTACTAGACCAGGCTATATTCTTGAGCCTCCATCCTAGTCTACCACATGGATAACAGGGTCCCAAACTCTTGGGCCATCATCTGCTGCCTTTCCAGGCACATTATAAGAAATTGGATTGGAAGTGGAGTTGCTAGTATGTGGAACTGGCACTCCAATATTGTATACCAGTGTTATAAATGGTGGTTTAACCCGGTATACCACAATATAATACATTCACACTGTTAATGGAAAATTCTTGGAACAGGCATTAAGTATGGCCAGCGTATCATTTGGGTGCCAGTTCAAATCCCAGCTTCTCCACTTCTGATCTAATTGTTTATGTCCTTGGGAGAGCAACAGAGGATGTCACAAGTATTTGGGCCTCTGCTACCCACATGGGAGACTCAGGTGAAGCTCCAGGCTCGTGACTTGACTCATGGCTCCCACCTTTGGCCTGGCCCAGCCCTAGCTGTTGAGCTGTATGAAGACAGAAGATAGAATATTTCTTCTTCCTTTTCTCTCTTTCTGTCTCTTCCCCTGTAACTCTTTTAAATAAATAAATCTTTCAGAAAAGTAGCTGAAATATTTATTCATGCATACTTGATGTAATTTATAAATGGTAACCTTTTGTTCTGGGCATAGAGACCAGATTGATAGTGTAGAATATCATTTATTGTATCTCTCCTAATACTATTATAATGTTTAGAAGAAGCATAATGTTGTCCTCAAGCTCTAAAAAGCAAAACAAATATTGCAACTATTGCCCTCTTCTGAAATACAAAATTTTGAATTTCTAGCTTTATTTTGTTGGCAGTGTACTCAGTATGATTGTGCATTTTTTTCTCATTTTTTTCCCCTCTCTTCCCCTCCTCCCCCCCCAACTCCTCTCCGCTTCTTCTTTTCCCTCTTCTCGTTCCTCCCCTCCCCTGCTCTCCTCCTTTTTTAAAATTTTTTCCCCAGAGCCTTCCATGGCAAACACCTGTCTCTTACAGTTCGGTTTCCAAACCAGGGCAAACAAGTTGATGACTTGGACATATTGTCTCATACAAATGATACAATTGGCTCAATACGTCGTCGTATTCTCAGTCGTATTAAAGCCAACATAGCCCATAAAAATATTGAACTCTCTGTGGGTGGTGAATTGATAGGTTCTGAAGATGACAGAAAGCTGATTGGACAGTTAAACTTAAAAGATAAATCAGTAAGTACATATGATTTTCAAATATTCACCAGAATTCAAATGTCTTATGTGTGATTTTCTGTGTTGATATTTGGGTTGGAATTCCATATAGGATAGGGGATACAGAACTTTAAATATAATGGAGGGGCCGGCGCTGCAGCTCACTAGACTAATCCTCCACCTTGCGTCACCGGTTCTAGTCCCGGTTGGGGTGCCGGATTCTGTCCCGGTTGCCCCTCTTCCAGGCCAGCTCTCTGCTATGGCCAGGGAGTGCAGTGGAGGATGGCCCAAGTGCTTGGGCCCTGCACCCCATGGGAGACCAGAAGAAGCACCTGGCTCCTGCCTTCGGATCAACGCGGTGGGCCAGCTGCGGCAGCCATTGGAGGGTGAATCAATTGCAAAGGAAGACCTTTCTCTCTGTCTCTCTCACTGTCCACTCTGGCTGTCAAAAAATAAATAAAAATTAAAAAATAATAAAAAAATATAATGGAGGAAATAAAACTGGGTAAGACTCTCTAGATTCAACTAGCTTTATATCAAAAATATGTGAAAAAATTGTGGTTGTGTTGAGCCTTTTTTTCTTAAGTCTCTCAACAAGGCAGTATGACAGCTGTTTATGTAACAGGGTACATTACGTAGTATAAGCAATTTGAGTATGACTTGAAGTATACAGGATTTTGTGTGTAGGTCCTAGTACAAATACTGCTGTACAATTTTATATAAACAACTATATCAGTCATAGAATTTCATTATCTGTGAGGTAGTCGTGGAACAATTCTCTTATAGGTCCTAAAGAGACAATTAAGTGGTTGCATTAGACAGTAATTCTAAAATTAAAACATTTCACCATTTTGATGTATCTAATTTCTGTATTTTGTATGTGTTTTCCCATTTTTTTTACTGCTTATTACATTATCTTTTTCAGCTAATTACAGCCAAACTTATAGAAATAAATTCAAGCATACTTTCAAGTCCTGATAGCTCTTCTGATTCTTCAATTGGATCGCCTGAAAACCATTGTAATCGCTACAGTGATGGTCCCGGTACAGAAGTGGAAAGTAGTTTGCCTGGTATTGTAAGTAACTCCTTTATGGTAGTTTTATATTCCTTGAGAATGTGATGAAATGAACATTTCTTTTGCCAGGAAGTGTAAAACTTAAGAGATAAGACTGTCAGATAATTCTGCAGTAAACTTTAACTTCTAAATTGGATTACCTAATTGTTTGAATTTACAATAAATTACTAGAATTAATGTCACAGTTTAATTATAATATTACATAACTGGGAAATAATACTGTATTACCAGTCATTCTTTTAGAACTATTTAAGTAGAAGTATCTTTCTCATATCCTATCTTGGCTTTTCTTGCCTTTACCCTTTTAAGAATTATGGTTATGCTATTGTGGCCTTTTACCATAACAGTTAAGTTGGAGGCATCTGTATCACAGTGCCTAGGGTTGATTCTTAGCTTGAGCTCCTGACTTGAGCATATTGCCATTACAAACACTAGGAAACAGCAAATGTGAACTTTAAGTAACTGGATTTCTACCACCCTCATGGGAGAATTGGATTTCAGTTTCTGGTTCTGAGCATTAGCTTCTTCACTCCAGACCCAGCCATTAAAGCAGTTGGAGAATAAACACAAGATGGAAGCTTAGTTAAGAGAATACTCTTTCGGAGTTAATTAACAGTAAATGTTTTGTACCTTCTAGATAATGTCATTGCATCCGAGATATATCTCTTTCCTTTGGAAAGTTGCAGACTTAGGTAGCAGCCTGAATATGCCACCTCTTAGGGATGGAGCGAGACTACTTATGAAAATTATGCCACCAGGTAAAAATATTATCTGCTCCCATAACCTACTACAAAGAAAGAATGCTAATTGAAAAGGAATATTAACAAATTCTATTTTAAAATCAAATACTTTTTGTGGAATACTCTGTGTGTCTTCCACAATATTACTGATGAAAAGTTCTCCATGGATGAGAAAAATTATTTAGAAATATGTAATTTTAAGTGAACTAATGTAAATATTATTACTAAAGTAAGGTTCTTGCTTCACCTAGTCTCATCTGTCATTTCTATTTCAAAGAAAAACCATTTCCACATTTAGCTTTTATTGCTGCCTGTGCCATTTTGTTGGTAAACAGTGTGTATGTAGTGTTATTTTTCTCAAGTTTAGAAATACTGAATTACTTCTATACAGATAAAAATGTATATTTTGCACACTTCTTGATCATTTCATAATTTTCACTTCAGTCTCTTGATTTTTCACATTTTTAAGAATATGAATGTATTTTAATCTCATTACACCTGATTATACTAGATTTTAAAATTTTCCATTCCATGTCACTTTGATTTCTGTTATACTACTAAATCTTCCAATCTTCTCTCAATATCAACTTACTATATTTTTCCCTTTTTTATTCTCTTAAGATTTTATTATTTATTTGAGAGGTATAGTTTCAGAGAGAAGGAGAAAGAAAGTTCCTCCATCTGCTGGTTGACACTACAAATGGCAGGCAGTGGACAGAACTGTGCCAATCCAAAGCCAGGAGCCAGGAGACCCTGGGTCTTCCATGTGGGTGAAGAGACCAATAAGTTGAGCCATCCTCCACTGCCTTCCCAGGCCACCAGCAGGGAGCTGGATCTGAGGTAGAGCAGCTGTTTCTAGGGACAATAAGTTACGTAAAACACACCAAAGTCTCAGAGCTGAATTATGGAGTCTTTATTGCTGAAAGCCAGAGACTGCACTAGGTCTTATGCTCTCTAAATCAGGCATCTCTTTTTTGACCTCAGGAGTAAGCTTATAAAGATAAAAACCACATCTTATAGCAACAATTACAATGCCAAGGATTTGTTGCAGCAGCTACAATAGCAAGGTTACACTTACCTCAGGGGGCATTGAATGTACTTCCCAGCACTTACTGTAAATAAACCTTACAGATAACATTCTTACAAGATGAGTTTTTAAGTAGATAGTAGTTGTGATATTGCTTAGAACTCAGAAAAAATGGAGTGACTCTAGTCAGGCCATAGCTCACTGGCACTTCATAGTTGGGACTCAAACCAGCACCCATATAGGTGCTAGTGCCACAGGCTGAGGCTCTGCCCACTACACGACAACATCAGCCCCCTTACTGTAGTTTTCTTAATGATTAGATGAATTACATTTTATTCTTTTGGTGTATTGCCTCATGCTACTCTAGTCTGATGGTTCTCTTCAACAAAGTTCACATTCTGGGGACTCTTGTATGTGGTCATTCTTTTGATGCTTTTTGATCTCGAGACTTTCATTAATTTTTGAACCATGCCCTTCTAAAAATGTGTATAGAGAATACAAGATTTTCATTTTTTAATAGGGATTAGGTGTCTGTGCTTTTGAAAATTTTTATTCTGTTCTGTCATTCTTTTTTTATAATTTTGAGCATTGATGTTGATCTGTCTAGGATTCTTGTAACCTCTTCAAGAATTCATTCTTGTTATTTCTTTAGAGTCCTATTTTTGCTTCGTGAATTTAAAGGTTTTTTTCTATTGGATATTTATTTTCACATAAACCAATTCAAAAAAGTAATAATTGATATATTTCCATGATTAAATGTGCTAACACTATTCAAGTTTTAACTCTGTATAACATTTTCAAGTGATATTTTTGTGAGCAGGTATTATAAAACTCAGGTTTCATTGCTCAACAGGTAGCATCAAGGGTATACTTTCATACTTACATAATGAAGGAAAACATTTATTTTCTTTTTTTTTTCATTTTATTGAAAGTATACAGATTTTATGCATTCCATATATACAGAATTAGGAAGATAGTGATTTTTCCATCATACCCTCCCTCCTACCCTTGCTCCCACCCTTCTTTCTCTTCTCCTATTCCCACTCTTAAATTTTTTTATTTATTTATTTATTTTTTTTGACAGGCAGAGTGGACAATGAGAGAGAGAGACAGAGAGAAAAGTCTTCCTTTGCCGCTGGTTCACCCTCCAATGACTGCCGCGGCCGGCATGCTGCGGCCAGCGCACCGCGCCGATCTGATGGCAGGAGCCAGGTACTTATCCTGGTCTCCCATGGGGTGCAGGGCCCAAGGACTTGGGCCATCCTCCACTGCACTCCCTGGCCACAGCAGAGAGCTGGCCTGGAAGAGGGGCAACTGGGACAGAATCCGGCACCCCGACTGGGACTAGAACCTGGTGTGCCGGCGCCGCTAGGCGGAGGATTAGCCTATTGAGCTGTGGCGCTGGCCCCCACTCTTAATTTTTTTTTTTTTTTTTTTTTTTTTTTTTGATAGGCAGAGTGGACAGTGAGAGAGAGAGACAGAGAGAGAAAGGTCTTCCTTTGCCGTTGGTTCACCCTCCAATGGCCGCCGCTGCAGCCGGCGCACCGCACTGATCCGATGGCAGGAGCCAGGAGCCAGGTGCTTTTCCTGGTCTCCCATGGGGTGCAGGGCCCAAGCACCTGGGCCATCCTCCACTGCACTCCCTGGCCATAGCAGAGAGCTGGCCTGGAAGAGGGGCAACCGGACAGAATCCGGCGCCCCGACCGGGACTAGAACCCTGTATGCCGGCGCCGCAAGGTGGAGGATTAGCCTATTGAGCCACGGCGCCGGCTCTTAATTTTTATAAAGGTCTATTTTCAGTTTACGTTATACTTAACCCTGTAGTAAGTGAAAAGTTCAACAAATAGTATGAGGGAAAAAAGCACTATTCATCAAACATAGAGAAAGGAGCTGTAAATAATCATGGAATCTCAAAATGTCCATTTCACTTCTATACATTACATTCTAGATACTCTGTTAGTTACCACAAATATGTTGTCTTTTGGGGACTGGCTAATTTCACTAAGTATAATGGTTTCCAGTAGCATCTATTTTATTGTAAAAGGCAGGATTTCATTCTTTTTATGGCTGCGAAGTATTTCATAGTGTGTATATTCCGAAGTTTCTTTGTCTGGTCGACAACTGATGGACATCTCTGGGTTGCTTCCATAGCTTAGCTGTTGTGAATTGAGCTGCAGTGAACTTGTAGGTAAATTCCCTGGAGTGCAGTTTGCTGGGTCATATGGAAAATTTAGTTTCAGATTTCTGAAGTATCTTCATACTGCCTTCCACAATGGCTGCATCAGTTTATATTCCTACCAATGGTAGATTAGGGTACCTTTTTTCCAACATGCTTGTTAGCATTGGTTGGTTGTTGATTTCTGTATGAGAACCATTCTAACTTGGTTGAGGTGAAATCTCATTGTGTAATTTGCAATTCCCTGATGGCTGGTGATCTGAGCATTTTTTTATTGTGTCTGTAGACCATTTAAATTTATGTCTTCCAAAATCCCTTTCAAGTCCTTTAACATTTCTTAATTGGATTTTGATTTTCTTGAGCTGCTTATGGATTATGGACATTAATGCTTTATCAGTAAGTTGCATGATTTACAGATAGTTTCTCCCGTTCTGTCAGTTGCCTCTTCACTTTGCTGAATGTTTCTTTTCCAGTGCACAAGCTTCTCAGCCTGAAGTAATCCGTTGGTCAATTTTGATTTTGTTTGCCTGTGCTTCTGATTTTTTCCAAAAAGTCTTTGCCTATACTATTGTTTTGCAGGGTTTCCTCATTGTTTTCTAGGAATTTGATGACATCAAAGTAGTATTTTGAGCATTAGAGATCTTTGTACTTAAAAAAATTGGAAAATGCTATAGGGGCTATAAATTGAATTTAGAAAATACTGTATGTTGTGTAATTGTGTATAAAATGTCAATTTAATTTATTTAAAGATTTATGTATTTATTTGAAAGGCAGAGTTACAGAGACAGAGTGAGCTATTATTCCATATGCTGGTTCACTCCCCACAACAGATAGAGCTGGGCCAGTCAGGAGCCAGGGGCTTTCCAAGTCTCCCATGTGGGTTCAAGTGTCCAAGCACTTGGGCCAACTTCCTACCGCTTTCTCCAGCACGTTAACTGTGGAGCAGCACAGTCTTGAACTGGTGTACATGTTGGATGCCAGTGCCACAGGCAGAGGCTTTACCCTCTACACACAGCACTGGCCCCAGAAGTTGATGATTTCATCTCTTGTTTTAACTAATGAAAGAAATGGGACATTTATCCTGCTTAACAGCAGTTGATTCATACATCTTTAATTAAGTAAAAGACTATACTGCTGCTATACTTATATTTCAACACTATTTTATATAATTATAAAAAATTATAATTATAGGTTGAATTTATTCAGAAACATACGGTTTCAGCCAAAGCTAAGTTCCAGAAACATTTTTTTTAAAATTTATTTATTTTACTTAAAAGTCAGAGTTACACAGAGAGAGAAGGAGAGGCAGAGGCAGAGAGAAGTCTTCCATCCGCTGGTTCACTCCCCAGTTAGCTACGACGGCTGGAGCTGCACCGATCCGAAGCCAGGAGCCAGGAACTGCCTCTGGGTCTCCATTTGGGTGCAGGGGCCCAAAGGCTTGGGACATCTTCCACTGCTTTCCCAGACCACAGCAGAGAGCTAGATAGTAAGTGGAGCAGCCGGGACTCAAAACAGCACTCATATGGGTTGCCGGCACTGCAGGCGGCAGCTCTACCTGCTGTGCCACAGCGTCTGCCCCAGAAATATACTTTTAAGTACCCATGAAATTGGTATTCTTAACTATTTAAACCTGTTGTATCATTATTCTATATATATATGTTGCCTATAATAGCTTAAATTGAACAGTAAATGTATCACTTATAACTTTGATGTAAATAACATGTCATTGAAATGTACACAGAATTAAAATATTTGTACTTAATAGGTTAGAGTGTGGCACAATGGGTTAAGTCACCACCTGCAATACCAGCATCCCATTTGAGCGCTGGTTCATGTACTGGTTATATCACTTCCAGTCCAGCTCCTTGCTAATGGCTTAAGAATAGCAGTGAATGACCCAAGTAGTTGGGCCCCTGACACCCATATGGGTGACCTGAAGGAAGTTGATGGCTCCTGGCTTTGACTTTACCTGATCCTAGCCATTGTGACCAATTTGGCAGTGAACCAGCAGGGGCAAGATTTTTCTCTCTCTCTCTCTGCATCTCTATCTCAAGGATTCCTTTCTCTGTAGCTCTACCTTTTAAATGAATACATCTTCAAAAAAATATATTAAACTGTACAAATCAGTAGTGGTAGGCATAGTCACGTTTTTTTTTTCTTTTTTTTACAACCAATCTCCAGAGTTTTTAGTATTATTAAAGCAGAAATTCTAGGGCCCAGAACTGTGGTATACCCAATAAAGCCATCACTTGCAGTGCCAACATCCCATATGGGTGCCAGTTCAAGTCCCGGTTGCTCCACTTCCATTCAAGCTCTCTGCTATGGCCTGGAAAAGATGGCCCAAGTCCTTGGGCCCCTGCACCTGTGTGAGTGACATGGAAAAAGCTCCTGGCTCCTGGCTTCTGATCGGCACAGCTCTTGCCCATTGCAGCCAATTGGAGAGTGAACCAGCGGATGGAAGACCTTTCTCTCTGCCTCTCCTTCTCTTTCTGTGTAACTCTGACTTTCAAATAAATAAATTTATTTAAAAAATAAATTAAAAAAATCGAATTCTGAACAACTGTACCTATTTCTTTTTCCTCCTATCCCTGGCAGCCACCATTCTGCTTATAGCTTATATAAGTGAAATTATGTACTACAGTATTTCTCTTTTCATGAATGGCTTACTTCATTTGGCAAAATGTCCTAAAGATAAATCCACATTTTAGCATGTGTCAAATTTGTCTTCCTTTTTGGGAAGAATACTGTTTCATTATTTGTGGTTACCACAATTTGTATTACCTTTAAATATATTTTTGGACGTTTAGATTGTTTTCTTCTTTTGACTACTGTTATGTTGCTATGAACACCTGTGTATAACTTTTGATGTGTGTTGTTTTCATTCTCTTGAATACACATCAAGGGAAGAAATGTTTGATGATACACTAACTCTGTTTAATATGGAAAACTGTAAGACTTTTCCAAAGTGACTATACAATTTTATATATCTACCAGTAAGATATGAAAATTCCAGCTTATCCTCATTTTCATGAAGACTTCTGTTTTATTATTCCTTACTATTGTTATTGAGTGATATCTCAATGTGTTTTTTTTAAGATTTTATTTATTTCTTTGAGAGGTACAGTTACAGACAGTAAGAGGGAGAGACAGATAAAGGTTTTCCATCTGTTTGTTCACTCCCTGAATGGCTGAAATGGCCACAGCTGTGCCAGTCTGAAGCTAGGAGCCAGGAGCTTCTTCTGGGTCTCTCCCAGGTGAGTGCAGAGGCCCAGGAACTTGGGCCAGCTTCCACTGCTTTCTCAGGCCATAGCAGACAGCTAGATCGGAAGAGAAGCAGCCGGACTAGAACCAGCGCCCATATGGGATGCTGGCATAGCAAGCAAAGGATTAACCTACAGTGCCACAGCACAAGCCTATCTGCAGGGAAAATGTCTGTTCATAAACTTTGCTAATTTTTAGAGTCATTACTCTTACTGAATTGTATATGAGAGGAGTTTGTGTTGTTGTCTCAAAAAGATCTAATTCCTTTTTTTAGAATTACACATTTTTACTGTAGTAAAATGGATATATTTATTTCAGCTCTCTGAATAAGAAACTGTTACCCTTATGTTTTGGGTTGATCATTAACCAGTGTGGATTGTTTTTCATCGTGTAACATTTGAATTAAAAGCTAAGCCCTTTGATATTTCTTGATATTATTTTGCATTTATAATAATGTTTTTCAAAATACCAAGTTTGAGATATTGAGTACATGAATTGTGTTTTACTTTAGTCTGTATTTTTTTTTCAGATAACACAACTGTAGACAAATTAAGAGAAATTTGTTTGAACCATGCAAAAGTTGAAGAGAGCAATCTTGATCTATCTCTTGAATCACTTTTCTTTGGTCCTTCTGCCTCTCAAGTTCTTTACCTAACAGAGGTTGGTTTTTTCTTTTGCAAAAATATGATTTTTACATTATAATGTAAGAATCTGTATATGATTGTGAAGAAAAGTTTTGAAATAGTTTATTAACAGTGATGAGAGAAGTAAATAGTGCTACAAATAAATTTAATACCTTTTAATACAATCTTTCTTTTTTTGCAGGTAGTCTATGTATTGCTAATGCCTGCTGATACGTCTCTGGCTGACAGTTCCTCAGATTTTCAGTTTCATTTCCTGAAAAGTGGTGGCTTGTCCATTGTATTGAGCATGCTAATAAAAAATAACTTCTTACCAAATGCAGATACAGAAACTCGAAGGAGCGCTTACTTCAATGCCCTTAAAATAGCCAAATTGTTATTAACTGCAATTGGGTATGGCCATGTTCGTGCTGTGGCAGAAGCTTGTCAGTCGGTTTTAGATGGTACAGATCCTGTAAAACCGGTAATATTTTAAGATACATTTTGAAATATTTCATTCTTAACACTCAGTTTTTAAATTAAAAAAAAAGTTTATTTATTTGAAAGGCAGAGTTAGAGATCTCTCTGCTAGGTCTCTCACAAGGGTATAGGGCCCAAGCACTTGGGCCATCTGCTGCTGCTTTTCCAGGTGTACTAGCAGGGAGCTGAATCAGAAGCAGAGCAGCCAGGACCCACTACACCACAATGCTGTCCCCAACATTTAGTTTTAAAGATAAGCTCAGTGAGTTTTGTGAAGAGTGCTTCAATTAAAATGTCACATTTTAGGGGTAAGACTTTTTGCCTTGTGATAAAAAGGTTGGTTAGAACATCCTTTGTGCTACATTTTCAGAATATCTAGGTTAAATTCCTAGCTCCAGCTCCTCATTTCAGCTTCTTGCTATTAACTGTCCTGTAAGACTGCAGAGATGGCTCAAAGTTATGTGGTTCCTGCCACTTCTGTGACAGCCTTGGCTTCTTTGTAATTTGGAGCATTTTACCCTAAATCAGCATGTAAGAGCTTTCTCTGTCTGCCTCTCAAATTAAAAAAAAACATTTTTAAACTATAACAGATTAACTTAGAGGTTTCTTGTATTAAAGTGTAAATTGTTGATTATACTAAGTTTAGAAGAGGTCTTAACCTGCTTACATCCTTTTGCTTTCCATTATTTGAAGTATTGTGGAATCTTCACCTCAGTCATTTGTTAATTCTTACCTGAAAGTTATATAAATAGAAGTACACAAGTCATTGTGAAGGAAATGATTCAATTGGCATTCTGCTGCTATTCTCATCCTGTCTTTGTTTTGCTTTCAATATTCCTAGATTTGATGCAATGGATGAATATGGATCTAAGGTTGAATGCAATTCTTAGATTAACTTAACTGTTACTATTGATGATAGTGATATTATTGATAAAAGATAAGATAGTTCACAGGCCAGAATTCCTTTAGAAATGTTTGAAGTATTATAGTAGGAAATTTGTATAGATGTATAGAGATTTTGATATTTTAGAATTACCATTAATTTTACTTGGTATTGTGGTTTTGTTTTTTTTTTTTTTAAAGAGTCAGTATTGTATTTCAATGTGATATCTGCTTTTTACTTTAATGTAGTTCTAGGGTTCTAAGAGCAGAGAGGTCAGTAATCATTGAAAGAAACTGGAACTGGCTCTCATGGGGGATGTTGGCACTGCAGGCCACAGCTGAACCCAGTGAGCCACAGCACTATCCTGTATCCCTCCAAATTTATCCGTTTAAATTAAATTAGACAGTAACAGGTTTCCAGTTAATAATATTCTCATCTGTATTATATTTTTGGAATTTTTCATTAAAAAATTAGAAATAAATACCAGTTTTGTATATATTACATTTAGAATAAGAAATTTAAGAAGTTCTGTTCCCACCCTGACTCTTATTTGATTGTTTGAATTGTTCGTTCTGTGCATATTGGGTAGGTTCTTAACTTGGTCTTTTGCCTAAGAACTTAATGAAGTAAATTTAGAAACATATGTGGTAATATGCTCCTGAAGGATTTAAATGTACATAACAGCCTGTAATATCAAATTGTTACATTCTAGTTAGGAGCAGAATATAAAAGTAATATTTAAGTAAAACTTTTTTACACACTTACAGGTTATTTAATTTCTTTTTCATGGAGAATAAATAGAAGAATTTTATTTGAATGACAAAGTGAGAGAGATCTTCTATCTGCTGTTTTCATTCTCAGATGGCTACAACAGCTGGAACTGGGTGAAGCCAAAGCCAGGAGCCAAAAATACTTCATAGTTTCTCCTGTGGGTACAGGGGCTCAAGTATGTGCTGCTGCTTTCCAAGGAACATTAGTAGGAGCTGTATTAGAAGTGGAGCAGCCAGGATTCAAACTTAGCCTTCTATGCCTGCAATACTGGCCCCATGAATTCCTAGTTCTTCGTCTCAGTTCATTGAGAGAACTGATAATAATATATCAGTGTTAATCATAAGACAGTTTCGTGTAAGAACAAGTGACACAAGACTTTTTGACATTAAATAAACTAGTGTTAGTAAACATGAATTCGTGGTTTTAAAGCTTTTACATGTAATTTTACTCACTCAACAGATAATTTTTATGAATTTGCTATATGCCAGATATTCTACAGATGTAGATGTAGTGTGAACCACAACCTTATTTACTTGCTTTCTGCTTGCAGTTTTATTTTTAGAAAATGATGATCAAAATATATTGGATTCACGGCCGGCGCCATGGCTTACTTGGCTAATCCTCCACCTGCAGCGCCAGCACCCTGGGTTCTAATCCCGGTTGGGGCACCAGTTCTGTCCCAGTTGCTCCTCTTCCAGTCCAGCTCTCTGCTGTGGCCTGGGAGGGCAGTGGAGGATGGCCCAAGTGCTTGGGCCCTGCACCTGCATGGTAGACCAGGAAGAAGCACCTGACTCCTGATTTCAGATTGGTGCAGCGCACCAGCCACAGCGCACCAGCTGTGGTGGCCATTTGTGGGGTGAACCAACAGAAGCAGACCTTTCTGTCTCTCTCTCTCACTGTCTAATTCTGCCTGTCCAAAAAAAAAAAAAATTGGACTCTTGTGTGTCAGTCATCCTACTATCTTATTTAATCATTAATACAGTAATATTTCAGCCATATTACTTCCTATCTTGTATGTGAAACTAAGACCTAAAGTGATAAAATAGCATGATCTAAGAAAATAACAATGTGCTGAGATTTTTAGCTCAATGAATCAGGCTGATTCTGAAACAATACTTTTACTACTGTTGTAACCATAAGCTTTATTATGAAATGATATGTAGCGTTACCTGGCAAATAGATCTTCATATAGGAATTGAAGACTTCAAATAATTAATATATACATAACAGATAAAACTTTTAACTTCTTTGGTTGAGATTGGGAGAGGAGCAGAAAGCATTAGACTGGTACTGTTTTGCTTTGCCCAGTCAATTGATTGCCATAAACCCTCCTCACATTCATGAATTTCTTAAATCTTTTTTAAAAGATTTATTTTATTTACTTGAAATACAGAGTTACAGAGTGAGGTAGAGCAAGAGAGAGAGAGAGGTCTTCTATCCACTGGTTCATTCCCAAATGACTGCCATGGCTAGAGCTGAGCTGATCCAAAGCCAGGAGCTTCTTCCGGGTCTCCCACGTGGGTGCAGGCACCTGAGGACTTGGGCCATCTTCTACTGCTTTCCCAGACCATAGCAGAGAGCTGGATCGGAAGTGGAGCAGTCAGGACTAAAACCAGCGCCTATAAGGGATGCTGGCACTGCAGGCCACAGCTTTAACCCACTGTACCACAGCACTGGCCCTGAATTTCTTAAATCTTATTAAAATGCTTTCATGAAACTTAACTGTGAAAAAACTAGGTGGAGAGGATGGATGTATTAAGTTGTAAAAGACTAGCATGTTTTGGAGGTGAGTGTCAGAATGCAAGGAACAAAATTAATTTTAAACAAAGCCAGGGACATTTTAAAGACTAAATGAGGGAAAGAGT